TTTAGTTAAAATCATCTTTTTAAAATCTTGCCCCGCAAACAACACACTTTAATACTTTACATTTTCATTTGGCATTGACACTAGCCTAACCCTCATGACCATATATAACTGTCTAACATTGACCTAATCTACTTCAATTTTTTAACGATATGCTAGTAACCCGCCCTTTATTTGAGTTATTGGGTCTGGTTCAATCAAAGTTTAGTTTGAGTTTGAAATATGTTACGTCATTGTGTCTATTTAGGTTAAATTTTAATAAATTAAGTTATTTTTATATTAGCTCAAATTTAGTGAGATCCAATCAGTTTTTAACACATCTATATTGATCTAACATACTTGAGCAAAGAAAACATATAAATATAGAATGAAACAAAGAAGAATGTCATGTATCCGTGCAACTTGAACGTGCTTAGAGAATCTCAATTCATACTTTCCTTCCTTTTATTTTTGTTTTCCCAATGCCTTTGCCTTCTTATTAAAATTATTATAGTTTTGAGCACATCCTTTCATAAAGTTTGCTATCCAACAAATAAGATCTACTCCGTAGTAGTTTGTCGTTGAAAACTAAACCTGATGTGAAAATTGAAAATTATTCAACAAATCTTAACATGATATATGTAAATTAGCAAGGAGCATGACCACATCGGTGTTGCCGAGTTTTCGTCCATTGACTTGTTTGGGTAGTGAATTAGTGATGAGACATATAAATATATAATACTCGGTACTTAGTAGGAATTTATATATTTATTTATTTATTTAAGAAAAGGAGAATAATCTTGTTTGGAAAATTAGAATGCCACTTGTTTAGAGTGAGAATTGAACCACTCTCATAGGGGTAGAAGGACTTCCTCTAACCGTTAGGTCAACTTTGAATCTCATAATACTCTGAGCCCCTAGGAATGCATTACTAATTTATTCATATACCCTTATAATCCATTTCAATTAGTTTTTAGAGGAGATATTGTATGATTCATAGTGAGCCGCCTGACATAAGTCATTGGATATTACATCTAGTCTAGTTAAAATGTGAGAGAGAAAGTAGATGCTTCATTATATTAAAACAAATAGATTCGACTCATGTGAAATTAGGCAGATGACATATGAGAAAATCTCGACCTACCAATTGGTCGTTGCTGGTGCAAGGGTGGTTGAGGCTGCACTTGGTAGAGACTAGGGAGAACGTGTGTTCATTAGTTGAATCCCCCGCAATAACAATTGGAAGGGGACTTGAGTCTAAACACTCAGAACTAAGCCTCAAATCCGAATTAACCTAAAGAGAAAACCGGGTGGAACACCAAAAAAAAAAAAAAAAAAAAAAAAAAATTCCCTTCCTTATTTACCTTTTATAAATAGTGTTAAGATAATTATATCCTCTAAAATATAAATATACTTATTTACCTTTGTTAATATTAATTGTCTTTTCAAAAACTCTTAACAATAGTTTGCACACATTTATTATCCTAAAAATCTTTGTTTATATCCCTTATTAGTTCTACCATCAACTAAAATTGTGATATAAGATTAAACTAGTTTTTGGCCCAAGCAATACCCGGGTCATTATATGTATATTATAAAAGCTTTATAATAAAAATTATGTGATAAAATACATATAGATTAAATTAGTTACATTTGTTGTAAATAAAGGAGTAGTCTGGTTTCAAAAATAAAATAAAAATAAAGGAGTAGTCTAGTACAAACAATATACAAATATTTAAGTAAGATAAAAAAGATAATCTCAACAATGGAACATTATCGGCACGTCGTGATGCAAATCACTGATTTGAAAACGAATTTCCGACGCAATCAAGGTGCTCAGTTGTATTCGCCGGCACGAACCCTAAGGTTAACACACCACTTTCACACAAAGACACTTTTGGGTGGAAGGTTTGAGTCAAGTAATTTATGCCAATACAGAATGTGTTTATACTATTGTGCTTGATATATTTTTTAAGTGTAAAAAAAAAAAAAAAAAAAAAAAAAAGGCTTCTTTTGTTTATAGAGAAACATGAAAAGATCATAGAAAAAGAATCTCAAACACTAAGAGAGGTGAATAATCACTTTAAACGTCCTCTTAAATAAGGGGTTATGAGAGTTATTTATCAAGAAAATAATGATGGTGAATCTTAAATATCCTCTTAAATTGGGATTATAAGAATTACTCAAGAAATAATGTGGCGCCACATCATTTGACTAATTATGATGACATGTGACAGTCTCATATATTCCCATTAAATTATATTTATACTAGTTTTATGCCCCGTGCAATGCCCGGGTTTTTTTTATTGAATTTTAAGGTAAATTTTTAATCTATATAGCAAATTTTAAAATATATCATTGATACAAAATTAGTTAGGAATTGATGTGCTTTTGTGACGATTTGTTATCTAGTAGGCATGTACGTAGTAATGACAAATAATAATGTTGGTGAAAATGTTCGATTTAATATATTAAAAAAATAAATTAGCAAAAAATAAATTAAATAAAATAAATGTTTAAAGCCCATTGGGTTGACCTGAACCCAAAACTTTAGGCAAAGGTTGAACATTTTTAGCAAAGACCCAATTTGAGATGATTCATGACGACCCGACCCTAATTAATTGGCCTACGATTCTACATAGTAATAAAATTCTATTATATTGTGAAGTACTCATATTATTTTAGCCGTTTAATATATATTATAAATGAATGTTTTACGCTTTAAACTATATTAGAATTATAAGCTAATAATTTTTTTGAATAAAATTATCATTCAATTTGTAAATCTGAAATATTGGTATTTTAATTGAAAATAAAACTCTAAACTAACAATTTTATCCTACAATTATGTCCAAATAGAATTCTAAACTAACTTTTTTCACAAATTTTTGTATGTGGCTGGCCACACGGTGTGGCCAGCCACAATTTTTATTATTTTTTTTAAAAAAAAAATACCACAACTCTTTTCTCTCTTCTTTTCTTATCTTCTTCTCCAAACCATACATCACCAACAACCATATCTCTACTATACCCATTTCCTCTCTCCTCTTTTCTTAGCTTCTTTTTTCAAGCCAAACCACACATCACCAACAACCATATCTCTACTCCACCTATTTTTTTCTCTCCTCTTTGGCAAATTGTTGCAATTAAAGCCCAAAATTGTAGAAATTGGGTGTTAAATTGCTGTGAAAAATTGTGATTAATTATTCTTAAAATCATCAACAACATTTGAAGTAGTGAAATTGATGAGAACCGAAGAAATGTGAGCTCGTTTTCTTCTTGGAATCTTAGATCAAACATTCTACGTCAAAAACTGTAGGGTGTTACTAGTTTGGTTATGAGTACTTGTAGGTGTTACTGGTTTGATCAGGGGTTACATGTAGGGTGTTACTGGTTTGATCAGGGGTTACATGTAGGGTGTTATTGGTTTGATCAGGGGTTACTTGTAGGGTGTTACTGGTTTGGTGAGGGTGTTACAAGTTTGGTCAGATTACTTGTAGGGTGTTACTGGTTTTGGTCAGGGGTTACTTGTAGAGTGTTACTGGTTTGGTTAGGGGTTACTTGTAGGGTGTTACTAGTTTTGCTCAAGAGTTACTTGTAGGGTGTTACTGGTTTGGTTAGCGATTGCTTGTAGAGTGTTATTAGTTTTGCTCAAGGGTTACATGTAGGGTGTTATTGGTTTGGTATGGGGCTTACAAGTAACCGTTGAATAAGTAACAAGTAACCTTTGAATAAGTAATTCATACAAGTAACCTTTGAAGTAACTCACATAAGTAACCCCTGAATAAGTAATTCATCGAAGTAACCCTTGAATAAATAACTCATACAAGTAACCCTTGAATTAACCCATACAAGTAATCCCTGAAAAAAAAAAATACAAGTAACCCCTGAAAAAAAAATACAACTAAATCTTGAAAAAAAAAATACAAGTAACCCCTGAAAAAAAAAATACAAGTAACTCTTGAAAAAAAAATACAAGTAACCTTTGAATAAATAATCAATACAAGTAACCCCTGAAAAAAAAATACAAGTAACCCCTGAAAAAAAAATACAAGTAACCCCTGAATAAGTAATCCATACGAGTAACCCCTGAAAAAAAAAATACAAGTAGTATCTGGAAAAAAAAAATACAAGTAACCCCTAAAAAAAAATACAAGTAACCCCTGAAAAAAAAATACAAGTAACCCTTGAATAAGTAATCCATGCAAGTAACCCATGAAAAAAAAAATACAAGTAACCCCTAAAAGAAAAAATACAAGTAACCCCTGAAAAAAAAATACAAGTCCTGAAAAAAAAAATACAAGTAACCCTTGAAAAAAAAAAATACAAGTAACCCTGACAAAACCAGTAACCCCATTATGCGAGTGAATAGTAACCCCGTTATACTTCGTAATCCGTTATTTTTACTGATTTGGCAGCAGCCCGCACGGTGTGGCCTGCTGCACCAAAAAAGCTCTGAACTTTTTTATCTTGTAAAATCTATTTAACTCTATTCTATGTGGCGTGACACTTGGCGAAAAATTAGAACGTCAAGTGTCGCTACCTTGTGACGGCTAAAAGTTTAGCTTTATATATTAGTTATTATATGATATGATCGATATAGAAAGATTAAAAAAACTCCGAAAAGATAACTAGCTATATACATCATGCATTAGCCACCCTAATTAGGGCCTATTCTCATTGACTGAACTAAGCTGAACTTAGCTGAACTGAATTGAAATGAATATTTTATAAGAGAAGAAAATTAGGAATTGAACTGAATTTCAACATATGAAAACATACCCTTAAATTAAAGTTGTAGTTTTCCATATCTCTGGATGACGTGAAATAACGAGACTTATGAGTTACGCTCTTCGTGGTAACCAAAGTGTAATTATATAATCCACCTAAAAAGTCGTTAGTAGGCAAATAACGGCACACTCATTGAATCAAATAAGTAGATTAATATAGCCGTTAACTTTGATTTACGCTCTCTTTATCTTCCTCCTTAGTCCTTATAAAACCCACCTTCTCCTTCTCAACCCCTCACATCTCAGCTCTTATCATCTAATACATTCTCCCAAGAAAACGAACCTACATCTCTATATTACTGCTACTAATAGCTTCAGTACAGAAAGAAAGAAATGGCAAAATCTACTTTCTCTCTCCTCTTTCTCATTCTGCTGTTCTCTGTTTCAGGTACATTTTTCTTCCATCATTGTTTTCAGCAAAATTTTCCTTTTTTTTTATGAAAAAATTTATAAAGATATTCGAATTTTTATTTTTCTTTTTGCATATATTAGGCAATTATCTTTTCCGTTCAATTTATATTGGATGTTAAAATTATTCACAAATTTTCATGTGTACCTCCGGATCGATAGTATTGGTAATCCAAGAAATCAACATTGCGTTGATAGCCGTCCAATCGGACTGTGTACAGGGCGGAACATGGGCGTTTATATTACTATCCAAGAAAATGAATTTGCGTCTAGCCTCGTGGAGTTTCATCGTCTCCGGCCATCTTTAAGGGTCAAAAAATAATCGATAAAATTCAACATGCTCTTAATATCATGCTAAACAGGCTTGGGTCACACCCGTCACGAGTGTAGAGATAAAGGAGTTTTTACCTCAAAATCAAATGTCAATGAGGAAAGTAGCTCCTTAGCCTTATAAAGTAGACACAACCTTCTTATTTCTTCAATGTGAGATACACTTCCACACACTTTACACTCTTTCAATATAGGACAACAATTTCACTCACACATGAATTTTCTCTTGGGCTCAATAGGTTAGCTACACGGTGTGATCTGGGTATTTGGTTGGTTAAAGGTTACCCATTTAGTGTTTTGGTGTGTGTCAATTTATTGCATGAAATGGCTGGCCATATAAAAAAAAGCGTTGTAAATTATTATACGGAGTTAACCTTTTGCTATGAATTGCTCAATTAAGTTAATTTCCTAACATTTATTTTTAAATTTGGAGAAATTTTCAGAAAATTGCTATCCAATTTATATAATTTTCCAGAGTTATAGGAGATTATTTCAATCAGTTTATATGATTTTAAATTGCTATAAAGTTTGATGGACTACATTTTTTTATATGTTCTGAAAACCGTATACTAATCAACCATTAATATATTCTTGTTGACTAGGTCAAATGTTTGCAATGGCTAATATACAGGTATAAAAATAAATAAAATCCTTACATTACACCCATTTTTTATTTTTTATTTTTTATAGTTACCAAAATTATTTTAATTTATTTGGATTATAAATTATCTCTAATATTTTTATTTTTTTTGGGTGCTTTAAAATTATTGAAACAGGAAACATGGTGTATAGCAAAGCCATCTTCAGATGATGCAACATTATTAGCAAACATAAACTATGCTTGCTCTCAAGTAGATTGCAGTGTTCTTCATCAAGGGTGTCCTTGTTTTTCTCCTGATAATCTAATAAATCATGCTTCTATTGCTATGAATCTTTATTATAGAGCTAAGGGTTGCCAACAGTTGAATTGTGACTTCAGGGGTTCTGGACTCACTGTCATCACTAATCCAAGTAAGTTCTTTTTTTCAATTTCCTAAGTCTTGAAATGCGTATTTATTTTATTGTAAGACATTAAAAAGTTATCGCTACAAGATATGAAATACACATTTTAGGCCTTGTTCTTTTCACCTTCAAAAAATTCAGTTTAGTAAAAATAAGTTCAGTTTAGTAAAAATAATTTTTGTTCATTAAAAATAAGTAAGTTCAGTAAAATTCAGTTTTCTTAAAAAATAATTATAATAGAAGTTTAGTAAAATTAAATTCAGTTCAGTAAAATTAAATTCAGTTCAGTAAAGATAAATTCAGTTCAGCAAAAATAATTTCAGTTAAGCAAAATTAAAGTGAATCAAATAGGGCCTTATACACTAACTTACAAGTTATATAAGTTCAGTAAAGATAATTGATTGTCTCTCCTTTTTGAGGTGGATTTGATTTGAAAATCTTTGGTAATTAAAATAATGTTAGTAAATTATTGGGGAGTGCTAAACGCGATCTGACTTTACTTAACGCAGCCTCTATTCCACTCATTTATTAGATGTAGGGAGAAAATAACCATTTTATATTTTTTTTTCCTCTCAAGTAATCTCTAATAACAAGAGTGCATTAATTTAACTTAATATTCATTGAATTTGCAATGGGTAATGATTTTTACATTAGCCTCTTCGAATTTGATAAGAATCATACGAATCTATTATGTGTAGAATCAATAAAACCACTTTTCATCCTTAAAAAAAATAAAATAAAAATAAAACCACTTTTTAATATTTCGTTCAAATTGTATGAAATGATTGAGCCTATTTCGTGTGTCACCCAACTTCATCCGATTCGTGTTCATATTCATTAGATCTCGGAATATTGTTCGCTAATTGATTATGTGAGTAATTCAAATAAACAAAGGTATAAATTTCTGGAAATTAGGTGTGGAAGAAGGTGGAAAGGAAAGCAGGCAAAAACGTCGTGAAAATGATTTTAGCTTAGAAGAGTATTTATGGTATTTAGGAGGGGTGTATAGTAGTAACTAGAGGTTGCGTTTAGCATTCATGAAATTATTGGAGGTTGACGAAAAGGTGTCATCAAAACTACATTTTTACATATTACTTCATAATAAACATAGATAACTATACTTAGCAAAACTGAACTATATCTAATTACGCAATTTAAAATATTTTTTTTCCTAAGTCATACCTGATGACCCAGCAGAATTGAATTGATGATTATTTTATTTATTTGGGTAAAGGATTTTGGTGAATGGTGATAGAATAAAAATCATACAACACGAAATATACTACTACCTCTGGCCAAAATTACTCGCAACTTTGGAGTAGTATAAAATATGGGCGGACTACTGCTGTGTATATCAATAAAAGGCTAATCGAATTTGACCTATTGTTCTTAATTTATAAGAACTCTTACTTTGTACAGGGTTTTGGTTTAGCAAGTTTCCTCTCCATTTGGATATTTATATTATGTTTATTCTAACCCCTTTTCTTTTTTCCAGGTTATGGAAATTGTCTCTACCATTAGAAAGAAATCTCATATACGACTTCCAGTGGAAGGGACTTAAAAGGAAGAATATTTGTGGATTTTTGGTCAAATTTTGGTTCGTATAAATTGATAATTTTTGTAACAAGGCGAGACTCTTTTTACTAGCTTCAACTGAATATGAGATAAATAAGTAACTTATCTCTACCATAAATACCATCAATTTTTGTAGTGTTTTTTTAAGTGAAAAATTACATATTAGTTATGAGTGGAATGCCCATATGATACTACTCCGTATGAATTTATAATGGATAAGAATATAAGGTCAGTAACCGTTAACACCAAGCACTCACACATTATTATTTATAACATATAAAACCAACCGATTTAAATGAGAACCGAACCGATTAAAAATCATTTTAAAAAATCGAAAACCGACCCGAACCGTATTTAAGTGAACCCGAAACCGAACTAATCCGAATAATGTCAAACCATATAAGAACCGAACCCGTTCACAAATTCTAAACTAAACTGAAATCAAACCGAACAAAAAAAGAACCGAATCGTTTCTAACCCGAAACCATTTCCAACTAACCTTTTGAACCGAGGTAAAAACCGTTTACATCGAACCGTTAACAAACGCAACCCGTTTGCACCGAACCGTTTAAACCAAACCACTTACAAACCGAACTGCCGTTTACACCGAACTGTTAATAAACCGCAACCCGGTTGCACCGAACCGTTTACTTCCCAAAACGTTTACAACCCGAAACGAATTAAAACTGCTCAAGAATAACGAAATTGAATCGAACCGATAACTATTTAAACCGAACTGAAACCGACCCGCGAGACACTTAAACCGATTTCAAACCGACTTGATTTAATACCGAACCGATTTCAAACCAAACCGAACCCGAACTGTCAAACCGTTTTGACAGTGCTAATATGAATATATGATGATGCAATTCTCTCAATATAACGCTAAACACGAATTTTCTCTCTTTGAGTTTAGACGTTTAGTAATCTCACTATTATGATTAGGGGTGTTCATAAATCAGTTCGGACTGAAAAATGGACCGGACCACCCCGAACCAGACCTGACCGAATTAATTGGTCCGGTCTTCGGGTCTTGAAATTCATTTTTCCGGTCTTCGGTCCGGTCCGGTCCAAAACCCTATAAAAACCGGTTTTGGACCGGACCGATTCTTTTATTAAAAATATGTGTGAAACCTTAAATAATGGTAAAAATTATCCTTAATAAGCTTAGAAAACTTTGAATTTATAATCTTTTTTGCACTAAACATACAAAAAAAGACGTAAATGACGTTACAATATAGTTTTTCCAATACTTTTTCTGTGTTTTCCTAAACTTTATAAAAAATAGTATTCTTTTTTAAAAAATTCTTAAATCGATCCAAAGCGGTTCGGGCCGGGTTTTGGACCGATTCTTTCGATCTGGTCCGGGTTCGATCCTAACTTAATCGGTCCGGCCTTTGGTTCTTAAAATTCTAATTTTCGTTCTTCGGTCCAATCCGGGTCGATCCGGTCCGGTCTTGGACCGATAAACAGCCTTAATTATGATAATTCCCTTGAACTCAATAGTGTATAATATATTAATCCGTAGCTATACAACTAGTTTTCTAGCCATAATCAATTAATCACGTTTTTCATTTCCCATAAAACTATACGATTTTGTTTAATGTACCACACCGTGTTAATGTTATACTTTTTACGTTCTAACTTGCAGGGGTAGATCCATAAATTTTTTATAGCCCGGGCCGAAGTTATAAAGCATTTCAAATAATAAAGCCTAAAGGGATATGAGTTTAAGAAGCCTACACTAAAAAACATGTACAAATAAGGGGAATTAAGCCCTTAACCTTCCAAATCTATGCAAAAAGTAACTAACCAACTAAGCCTACTAAGCTATAAGATTTGAATGTTTGTATAAGATTTTTTATTAATATAATATCAAAATTTGGGCATTGGAGGGCTAAGGCCCGGGTATGCTAACTTGAGACTTGTTTCTAGCTTAGGGTCGGGCTCATTGACAAAATCCTATAGTTATTTGAAGTTGAGCCATATAATAAACAAAAGATATGGTTGTAGAATTAAATTATTGGTAATGAATTAAGACATAAGAAAAATACACTTTAATAATTCTAATAATGGATGATTTACTTCTAATAATCTCAACTAAGGTTTATTTTTTAAATAATCCTAACTATGTCTTGAGTTTTCTTCTAACAATCCTAAAAACCGGTTACTTGCTGAAAGGGTAATTTTTTTTTTTGTTTTTAAATATCACATGTCAGCACATGATTGGCTTAATATGAAAAAAAATAAAATAAAAAATAAAAATCAGCCTAGGCACCCCCTCTTCCCTTCAACCACCATGAAACCCAGCCATCGGCCCAGCCATGGCAGTTCTATCATTTTTCTTCGCCCAATACCACGGCTCCGCCGCCGCCACCATTGCCCCGATCAGTTGTCCCCTCAAAACTCCCTTCATCCACCATGAAACCCAGCCATCAACCCCATGTTGATGTTCACGACCTACACAAAACTCCGTTCTTTCTCCCTCGAACAAAACCAAGCAACCACCGGCCACAAAACCCCCAGCCCCCGACACCTCCCTTGAAACCTCCCTTGATACTGCGGATTCCCGCGAAACCGCCCCTAAATTAGCCATAGCCAAAAGCCCTATCTCAAAACCTCCGCCCATAACAGGTTCTGGTTCTGTTGGGGTTTGGTAAGTCCAACTTACCGTGGAAACGACCCCGACCCAAAGAACCACTCGCAATTAATAAAACCATAAAGCATAACAAATAAACATAAAAGGGTAGAATCGTAATTTACCTTTGACACGTGCTTCACCCTCAAAGTCGGGCTCTTACTTAAAAGCTTTAGCCCCGTTCGCACGAGAGCCTCCAACGGTATCCACCCACAAAGGACGAACACCGACTTTTTAGGTCCGCTACCTTGGAGTTAGCAAGGTCCGACCAAAACCCGAGTGATTAAATGAGTTCAAAGGTTTTCACAATGGTGATGCCTTTTTCAACTCTCACTCAAGTAAAGAATTCTCAAGCCATGCTTTGGCTATTTATAAGGAAGGAAAGCTTGTGAATTCCACTCATCTTTCAATGTGGGACTTTTTCACAAAAAGATCCCTCATGGAAAGATTAATGAATTCAATCCTTAGTTAAATAAACCAAGGAACAAGGAACAAGTAACAAGTGTCACATGGTTAGGTGAGGACCACTTTCCCACTTGGTCCCCAAGGCAATTCACATGCAATGTGAACTAACCATGTGTCACCCAACCTTGAGCCCCAAGTTGGGTTTGGTTGTGCCATTTTATTTTGGCCCGTGTCCATGACCCGTCACCTGGGTCACGTCCTCTTGCCATACGTGCCGCCACCATGCTGTGTTGCCACGTGGCACGATGCCAACGTCACATGGGCGCACTTTCCTGGCCTTTCGCGTGGCTAGGATTTTACTTGTTACTTGAAGCATTTTCCCGTCTCGACAAATCCTAAATTTTGGCTTGACATTTGAGATTCTCCGATGCTCGGTTTCGACGCTCCAAGCTCGAATTTCTGAGGTCTAAATATTTAACACTCGTGCGACGAATTAATTTCTTCCGAATTAATTCGTCGAGTCGGTTCGTATATATTGCTAGGGTGTGATCCGAAGGGTTCAGTCAAGATTAAGTTGTAATATTAATTATACATTAATATTACTGATCGGAAGCGGCCTCCACCCAACCATTCCGATTACTTGACCTTACTGAATATATTAGCTTTCTAATAATTCTAAAACTGCAATCAGAATAATACACTTGTTCGAAGGACACTATTCCTTTCAATCTCCCACTTTCCCTTCTGGACAAGTACACATTTACTGTACAACCTTTTTTCTATGTCGCTTAATGTCTCTTCATGAACTATAAGGTAAGATTATTACGTCATCCTTATTACGTCCAGAACTGTTTCTCGATTCCAAGTCCGACTGTCAATAAACAAATGATTTCTAAAATTCATCCGAGCACGGCCATGCATTTTTACAGTCTCGCTCTACGAGAGGCCTTGTATACAACAAAGACATCTTCCCTATTTTAGTAGGGGGACATTCCTAGTCTTGTAATGTAGCTTCTCTTACTGAGAGTACCTAGCCGCGCGAGTGTTGCCGTTATAATCCCCTATTACGGCAGACATTTGACAACATCAAAACGGACTAGTACTCAAACAAGAGAACTCACATTACTCATGGTCAAGGAAATAGGTTCCTATAACCATAATGAGAAGTATACTTATGACGATTTTTAATCTCTTAAAGTATTCTCATAGGTCGATCCAGTATGGTTCTAAACCAATACTTGTGCAAATGATTTATGACAATCATGTCCTCGTAGCACAAGAAACAGTGCTATATATCAAACTACACACTAATCTCAATTGGTCATTAATCGTCCATCGTTTAAATGACCTCGATTAGGGACAATTTTCGATTATAATATTCAATGTTCACTTAATATGTGTTTCCTTATCAAGACTGGTCTTGATACCCTATTTTGAATATTCCAAGAATCGAATGGACTCATTATTTAATTCTAAACCACATTAAATAGCAAATGGAGTGATAAAAATTGCATGAAATTTTAAATTACTCCAAAACCTGAATGGTTCATCTTATGATAAATGGTTTTTCCGAATGTTTTAAGAGTATCACTCTTTATAAAACATTATAGAAATCACACCCATATCTAATATGCTTGATTTCTTTCATGCAATTGTGAATGTTGTCGTTCACTCATTGCATAGGTTTAGTTATAATTACTTTGCTAATCTTAGCATCTTCATTACTGATCACTTTCATAATAAGATGATAAAATTTGAAAGTTTCACGGATTATATGTGATTTAGGATTTATTGTCCAAGTGATGGCTCCCACTCATTTTCATGATTGAGACCTTCAACTTGACAGCCTACAATCATTAACGTTCAGCAACGAACTTTCCATAGAACATCTTCTTTATTATTGCCATTAAGGCAATAATATTCTCAACATATATTTTAGTAGACTTCCTGATAATGCTTTGCTTGGGTTTCATTCCAAACAGCTCACAATGATTTGGGATACCCTAATAATTTGTACTGTGACCATGGAAATTTTCCTTAAATTCCTGCACATTACACATGGATCCACGTTCATGTTACCATTCTCAAGCCACGACTGATTGTTAGCTCGTGCTTATAAATGGATTCCTTGTTAAGGATCTAGTACTTGTTAAGGCTTGTG